ACTGGAAACGAAGCATGACAGCATCCTTCTTAGCATGGAGACAAACCATAAGACCACTATAAATGCTTACAAGTAATAATACCGAGCCCCATGCTCAGTAACTCAGGCGTTTAAATACAAATTATCATTAACTCAAAACACATACACCTGTGACCCATCAGTGCTATTATGCTAACGCTCAACCCGGAAGTGAGCGAACCAAAACAAAGTCACATGGCTTGTCCGAAGATGAACCACAGTGCCATCTGCTGGCCATATTGTGACACACACCAACACACAATAATCAGACATACCAAATGATTAAATGATGAACCATTAAGCTCAGTTGTATTAAATGACAGACAAATGTGTTAAATTGAGCAAGAAAGATGCAAATGAACAGTTTATACTAATGGAATTATGAAATATAGTTACTGTGAATAAAATGTTTATATAAAGGAAACACTTATTATTTGTAGTGAAAGGAATACTTTGGGATTTTGTGTTGTGTACTAACATAATTGAAAATATGATGAAATGTTTGGGAAAAAAAGTGATTTTTAATGATCTGTTGTGTGATTAGTATTAAGAGTTTTGAAAACCACTTGCTTGTAAAACTTGCATTAAATCAATTAAAAAACTGTAAATGCCACAATGTAAACCTGAAATCCAGGAATAAGACTTAATTTCTGATATAGTAATGAGTACAGCATTATGAGCAATGCGCACAATGGTTCATTCTTATCAAGTTTAAAATGGACAGGAGCAAGCGAATTACCTACAGTCTCAATGGCCTAGATGTTTTTTTTTTTTTTGTGAAATGAGATTACTTAGTTATTTGTTTTATTAATTCCAGTGAAGTATGAACATATATGGAAATACACTATATAGCCAAAAGTATGCAGACACCTGGCCACTACACCATATATGTAGATTTCCCTAAACTTTTGGCACAAAGTTGGAAACATACAATTGTATAGGATGTTTTTGTATACTGTGACATTAGGACTGTAGCATTAAAACTGTAGCACTAAGGGGCCCAACCTGTTTCAGAATAACAATGCCATAATTGCATGATGTTAGCAGGGATATCACTTTTTATCAAATGATCATAACATGGGCCTTTGGGGAAACTTACCCCTGGTTGTGGATTGGTTAGGTATTGCTACTTCTTAAAATCCTTCAAGTGCAGTGCTATGGCTTGTAAGGCATAATTCATCAGGCCAATGTTGTCAATGTTTATGAAATACAAAGACAATTACATCCCATTCCATATTAGACATGCAAATAGCCTGTCTCGCCACAACATTAAAATACACCTACCATGGAAACAGCTTATTTTGTTATTTTATTACAACATGAGGGAATATGTTGTCCTTCATTTCAAAGTATTTCCATTTAAAACTTAACTAATTAATTTGATTAAAATCCAAACACACCCTTTGGGAAACCACAACAACAAAATGAAAACATTCCCACCCTTCTGAATCGTGTGTGTGTGTGTGTGTGTGTGTGTGTGTGTGTGTGTGTGTGTGTGTGTGTGTGTGTTTATCAAAAAGATAAACGGCATCAAAAAGATTTTCCACAGGAAAAAGACATGGCAACTTTAATTCAGAAGTCAAGTAATAAATACAGAGACAAAAAAAAAAATGCAACAAGATTTTTATTTGACCGCTTGACCTGCATTGAAAGGTCTTCCTCTATTTATAAAAAAAATGGAGCCTGGCTGCCTGGTTCTTGTGAGTTCAAAAATGCTTTCCTGAAAACTTGTCCTTATTTAACTGAGTGCATTTTTGCTCAAAACTCCTTTCAGGCAAGCCCATGTTCAGAGAAAGTTCACACAGACATCACTTTGCTCTCTGATGACCAAAGCAAAAAATTTTGCAAAGTACAGATGGAACAAACCACCAATAAAATATACAAAATATATATCCAAATGGCACAAAATGAAACAACAAATTGGTAAAAACATGAAACTCTTATCTGCAGAATGTGCAATTTCACAAATAAAAACTGTGAAACTTACTCATCTCATTTAGCCATAAATCAGCACCAGAGCCCTATTAGCACAGTCACATATGTAATATAGGTGTCACACACCACGAATCGGCACGGAAGCAGAAACGGGCGGCAGGTGTAAAACGTGGACTCATGGAGTTTCAAGAGACGTGGTCGTTAAACAGGCAAGAGGTCGAGCGATCGGACGAACAGGGCAAACAGGATTAGGCAGAGACGTGGTCGAAAACCGGAAACAATGATCAGAGAAAACTAGAAGGTAAACTCAGCTAGAACGGCTTGGTAATGCAGAGAAACTGAAAGTTGACTGAACGTATACTTCGCAGTGATACTATGTGAATGAGAAACATAAGTAGTAGCGGTATGTGTGTGATTAGTGACAGGTGTCTCTGATCAGAACTCCGGTGAGTGCTGCGTGCATGAGCCGTGAGTGTTACATCTTGGGAATTGGAGTTCTGATCTGGCTGAGCTGTGACAGAACCCCTCCTCCAATGGGCTCACTCCGGGAGCCGAGTTCTTTTTTGGCCTCCCCCGAGGTCGTAGACCTGGGAGATCAGGATAAGTTGCGTGAAAGTCCTTGATCAATTCTGGATCCAGTATATCCTGCTTGGGAACCCAGCATAGTTCCTCAGGTCCATAACCCTCCCACTTGACCAAATACTCCAGCTTGCTTCTCCTATGTCTGGATTTGATGATTTTCCTGACAAGGTAAGCCGGTTGTCCATTTCGAGAGGGGTCGGAGAAGTTCGGCTGTCATAAAGGCGCGGGGGGGGCACGGGTAATGGAATAAAACGTACGGATTTTTTGCGAGAATCATACCCCTAGACCAACGAGCCTGGCACAGCCCAAGCTTCCCTACACCTTCCTAATATATGGCCTTATTGTTCTGCAGGTTCATGCTAAACTTTTCAGGCAGTTGCACAAGATATTACTCTCATAGAATTTGCATGTCACCTATGCTTTTTTCAAACAATCCGCAGGGCTTTGCTGCTTTCGCTTTATTCAAACAAGTCTATAACTTATTGTTTTGAGAGATGGGAGATATCGCAAAGCAGGGTTTTTGATTCCCCAGCAGGTCGCAACAAGCTATCCGCTATCATAGCAAGCCAAAAACAACCCAAAATGTTGTTTATTTAGCCATGATTCCATCAACTACATTCTGTTGGATAGGGGACATCCCAAACCAGTGTTCTTTTGACTGATTTTCTCTGAATCAGGTTATCTCTTTACTCAGAGATGGACACTTCTAGGTACAATCCAAAGAACACAAAGGAAGCCAATGTTAAATGGTAGAAACTAGGAACTTACGTTGTCCTCATGATTAGTGTGCAGTGCAAGATCCTCCTTTTATCGTCTATTGGAACATGGCTGAAAATGATTTCTTCTGGAATGTGCATTTCCTGAAAAGGGTACAAAGGAAACCAATATTAAGCGGTAGGAACTCAGAACTTACGTTGTCCTCATGATTAGTGTGCAAGGTCCTCCTTTTATCGTCTATTGGAACATGGTTGAAAATGATTTCTTCTGGAATGTGCATTTCCTGAAAAGGGCCTCTGTGATAAGCAGTCAAGCATATTAGTGCTCCTTATTCACAGCTGGATTCTTCACATCACAAGATGCTCTCAGCCAGCATTCGACTAACTATCTTGTGAAACTTGTTTGGTGACATGGAGAGCTTGCTGGTTCTTACAGCCGAAGTTGGTACACCAAGACACTAAACCAAAGGTAGAAAGCATGGATGCCCTGAAAAGGGGCTTTTGTGATCATCAGACTAGCATCAAAACAGTCTTTAATCAGAGCTTGACTGTTGACATCACAAGATGGCATTCGCCTAACGATGATGGATAGCTTGCTTGTGGTATTGGTGTCCGAGCACAACAGCCCTCAGATACAGAAGGATAAGTTGAGAAAAAAAGCAAGGGCTCAGCACAAGCCAGATCATTATGAAGCTCAGTTGAGGTGAAAAGAAAAAATGTCCGCGATTACAGAAGTTAAAGTTAACAGCAAGGTAAGGGCTCATCAGGGATTTCAACCCAAGACATCTCTCAGCCAACATTAAAATCATACACCTAGACCAACAAGTGAAATAGCCAATCTGGCTGTTTTACCTCAAGGTACTGTTATTTTTCTTCATTTAAACATGCACAGGTTAGCACTGCTTTTAATACAAAGCTGTGATGACGTAGAGAGTTTACAAGTTCTCATCACCTAAGTTGGCCCTCCACGATGCTAACCAATAGTGAGACCAAACCAGAAAGGAGTTGTCCCTGAATTTGGACTTCCCTGAAATGTGTCAGAGCAAAAAGGGAACAGCAAATGGAAGAACAAGGTTACAGAAACACATATCTGCAAGGTGAACCTCTCATGAACTAAGCAGCCAAGAGGAAGCCCTGTCAACATAACCCTTGGGCTTATCCAGGATTTGAACCCAGGACCTCTCACACCCTAAGCAAGAATCATACCACTAGACCAACGAGCCAAACTGCCCACACCATGATCCACTGGAGTTCAACTGTACCCTGCAATTGTAAGTCCTTACAGTTCTGCAGGTTCACGCAAATAGTTTGAGATGGTTGCACAAGATATTACTGTGAAAGATGTGAACGATGATGGAAAGCTTGCTCGAGGTGACTAGTATGACCAAAATGAAACTCTGTTAAAGAAGGACAAGTTGCAACTTGTTAAAACTCATGAAAACCTAGCAGTCAAGCAAGAACCAAGCAGACAGCTCTTGGCATTTGGGTAACTACATCGTGGTTAAATCGAAGCGCAATAATTCCCTCGATTACAGAGGGACAAGTTAAAACGAAGGTAAGGGCTCAATCAAGATTTCAAAATAGGACATCTCACACCGGAAGTGAGAATCAAATCCCTTGCCCAACAAGCTAAACAGCCTATCTGACTGTTTCAACCTTAGTCCATAAAACAAACCATTTCACTGTAGGTGCCTGCTACAATGATTTTAGTTTTTTTTTCAGAGACCAAGTGACACTTGGGCTGTGCAAGGCTCGTTGGTCTAGGGGTATGATTCTTGCTTTGGGCGCGAGAAGTCCAGGGTTCAACTCTCAGATGAGCCTAAGCTTTCTGCTGGACAGTCTGTGCTCATGCATTGTTCATGAGAGATCCAGGAAGGTTCAAATCCCAAGTAAGTTTATCCTTCTTCAGTTTTGCTCAGTACACCTTTCAGGGAAGCCCATGCTTAGGGAACGCTCGTTTCACCAGGCTTTCTAATCAAACCAGTGCTCAGCCATTTTACTTTGATCTCTTAAGACAAATGCAAAAATACCTGTATCAGGCACCGATACCATTAAATTGAAATGGCTAGTGTGATGGACTAAGCTTGGAACCATATTGGAAAGGAAAGTAGAACTTTGCAGCATGTCTAGTCTTGACAATGTTTTGACGGTTGTGCAAGTGGAAATGAACAAAAACAAAAGTACCTTGAGGTAAAGCGGCCTGACAAGCAATTTGGCTTGATGGTCTACGGGTACAATTCTAATTTTGGGTGACAGTGGTCCCGGGTTGAAATCCCTGATGAGCCCTTTCATTGCTGTTAACTCATCGTTCTCTACTCGAGGAAATTTTTGCTCGTCATCTCAACCGAGCTTCAGGACATAGTTAATGTCAAGAGGTTGTCTCCAGCCAATTGTCCTTTTTTTCTTGGACACCTTTCAGGGAAGCCCATATTCAAGGACTCCCCTTCCAGGTTTAATGTCCCTATTGGTTAGCACCTTGGAGGACCAACTTCGTAGATGAGAACTTTCAAACTCTCTATGTCATCACAGCTTTGAAATAAAACCAGTGCTCAACGATATCATTTTGATCTCTGAAAAAAGCAAAAATCATTGTAGTATGTCCATTTACACCGGTGCTCTTGAGGCTGTTAAAACGCTATACAGCGATTCTCAAGCGCCTGGGACCTTAGGAAAGTGTTTTTTCTAACAAACTCATATAATCATGTGCGTGACATCCTCCAAAATGATATTACTGGCATAACATAATACTAGGACATGTATCTGACCTCCAATGATACGAAATATAATTGTTTACATTAAAATGTACAAGTTCCCAATGAAGAATGGTAATGTGAAAAAAGTGACATTTGAAGTGCAGACAGTCACTTTTTTTCAAAACTGCTCTAACTAAGCTTGTTTACATTCGTCCAGTGTGCCCATGTACACTGTTGCGCTTCATCATGTTAAAACGCTATACAGCATTTTTCAAGCGGCTGGGAGCTTAGGAAAGTGGTTTTTCTAACAAAGTCATATAATCATGTGCGTGACATCCTCCAAAATGATATTACTGGCATAATATAATAACAGATACTACAGACGACCGCAGAATTATGCGGCCTCCGAGTGAATTGACTCTTGACCATCAGGGGAACCGGGATGCGGTTTTGTTTCCTTTTGTGCTAGCTCCGCCTAGTGGCGGGGCTTCTTTTGTTGAATAACACTACTTCAGGACAGTGGCAGATGTCTCTGCTCGCTCCTTGCGCTTGTGCCTGTTGGCTGAAGTCCGAATTGTGGAGTATTTCCACTTCCACACTTACACATTGAGTTCGGGGACAACTCAATTTCTACCATTCCCGCAGTGAAGTCTGTTAGGGGTGAAATTTTTACTTCGGCCATTGATATCAATAATTCTTTTAAAGAATTTTACTTGGATCTCTATAGTTCAATGTCTTCGTCTACCGATGAAGATATTAGAAACTTTGTGGAACCATTAGAACTCCCAACATTGACGACGGAGCAAAAAAATTCGCATGATTCTGAGATAACTTTGGAGGAGCTTGGCGAGGTAATCAAGGCCCTGCCTACAGGCAAGTCTCCAGGGCCGGATGGCTTTGCCGCTGAGTTTTTCAAATCCTATGCTACAGAACTGGCTCCACTTCTGTTAGAAGTTTATACAGAATCATTAAAGAATGGAAAGCTTCTTCCAACCATGACACAAGCCCGAATCAGTCTGATTCTTAAAAAAGACAAAGATCCAAGTGAGTGTAAAAGTTATCGTCCAATTTCCCTGATCCAGTTAGATGTAAAAATTTTGTCTAAAATTTTGGCTAACTGATTAAGTAAAGTTATGACATCTCTTACATATAGATCAGGGGGGTTTATTCAGGGAGCTGTAGCTCTTCTCATAACATTAGACGTCTCATTGATATCATGTGGTCAGTAGCGAATGATCAGTCTCCGGTTGCTGCCATCTCACTTGACGCCGAAAAGGCGTTTGATATGGTAGAATGGGATTATCTTTTTAAGATTTTGGAAGTGTATGGGTTCGGGAATACTTTCATTGGTTGGATTAAGCTACTTTATAGTCACCCTGTAGCGGCAGTACAAATAAATGGACTGATTTCAGATTATTTTACTCTGGATAGGGGCACCCGGCAGGGTTGCCCTCTTTCCCCATTATTGTTCTGTCTTGCCCTGGAACCATTAGCAGCTGCGATAAGAAAGGAGAATGATTTTCCAGGGGTGGTGGCGGGAGGTGTGCCGCATAAGCTTTTGCTTTATGCAGATGATATTTTATTATTCGTCTCTGACCCTACTAGATCTATGCCTTTCCTCCACAGAATTATTAATTCCTTTTCCAAATTCTCAGGATACAAAGTCAACTGGTCTAAATCTGAAGCTTTGGCTCTGACAGCATACTGTCCAGTAACAGCCTTTCAGCCTGGTGCCTTCCAGTGGCCCAAACAGGGTATTAAGTATTTGGGTATTTTATTTCCAAAAAAATTGTCAGATTTAGTTAGTCTTAATGTTGAACCGTTAATAAAAAGTTTTTCGAGTGATGTAGGCAGGTGGTCTTCTTTACATTTATCTATGATCGGGAAGGTTAATGTTATTAAAATGAGTTGTATATCAAAATTCAATTACCTGCTACAATCTCTCCCTGTAGATGTCCCTCTTTCTTATTTCAAGCGATTTTAGAGTATAGCGAAGTTTTTATTTGGAATGGTAAGCGTCCCAGGTTAAATTTCAATAAGTTAAATAGGCCGATTGACAAGGGTGGGCTAGGCCTACCCAAGATTCTGTTTTATTATTATGCATTTGGTCTCAGACATTTGGCTCATTGGTCAATTCCACCTGAGAGACCCCCTCCCTGGTTCTGCATTGAACAAGAAGTTCTTGGCCCTATTTTGCCACTGCAAAGCCTTTCCATTAAGCTCACCAGAGAAGTCAAATCACACCCCGTTATTTCACATCTGCACTCAGTGTGGACAAGAGTGTCCAGAGTGTTTGATTCTGATATTTATCTCAATGTTGCCTCGAGCCTTTGGCTAAACCCCAAACTACGTATTAATAAGTCCCCTTTTTGTTGGTCAGAGTGGATCATGAGGGGGATTAATACACTTGGTGATCTTTATGAGAGTGGTGTGATGATATCTTTTGAAAAATTGGTTCAACATTTTGGGATTCCCAGATCTCAGTTTTTTAGGTATCTCCAACTACGCCACTTGCTCTGTGCTATTTTTGGGAGTAGCATGCACCCCCCTAATGCAGCAGATACTCTGGGAGAGGTGATTCTGCTTTTGGAAGAGGACATGAAGCATCAGTGTATTACTCCTTACTGATTCAGAGTCTAGGGGACGGAGTCTCATCCACTCTCAAGAGATTATGGGAGAAAGATTTAAATTTGGAATTGGGGGAGTGGGCTAGGATTTTAAAAAATATAAAAACTGCATCTAGAGACGCAAGGGTGCGCCTTATACAATTTAAGATCTTACATCGGTTCTATTGGACCCCTCAAAATTGTATAGGCTTGGTCTTAAAGACACACCCACATGCTGGCGATGCCATTCAGAAGATGGAGACACTACCCATGTTTTTTGGGGGTGTCGTAAGATCCAAGAATTTTGGTTGAAAGTGCAGAGTTTTGTATGTGAGGTGTTGAACACTCAGATCTCATTCTGCCCTAGACTCTGTATTTTGGGAGATGGGGAGGTCACAAAATTGGAGGATAGGTACAAAAAAAAGAGGTTGGTAGGGGGAGGGGTTGTTGTGTGGATTTATGTTAAAATTTTGATCCATTATGTTTGTTGTCTTTTTAAGTGGCTGGGAGCTCAGGAAAGTGGTTTTTCTAACAAACTCATATAATCATGTGCGTGACATCTTCCAAAATGATATCACAGACATAATATAATACTAGGACATGTATCTGACCTCAAATGATACGAAATATAATTGTTTACATTAAAATGTACAAGTTCCCAATCAAATATGGTAATGTGAAAAAAGTGACATTTGAAGTGCAGACAGTCACTTTTTTTCAAAAGTGCTCTAACTAAGTTTGATAACATTCGTCCAGTGTGCCCATGTACACTGTGGCGCTTCATCCTGTTAAAACACTATACAGCGCTTTTCAAGCGCCTGGGAGCTTAGGAAAGTGGTTTTTCTAACAAACTCATATAATCATGTGCGTGACATCCTCCAAAATTATATTACTGGCATAATATAATACTAGGACATGTATCTGACCTCCAATGATTCGAAATATAATTGTTTACATTAAAATGTACAAGTTCCCAATGAAGTATCCCAGAGGAAAAGAATATTAGAAAAGAGCTCTCAAAAGCATCTCATGTATTTCTCCTAGACAACAATGAGGTCTGTGTGAAACTAGATTATGGCTTATTTCTCCTGTTTCTCTATTTTTTCTCCTGGAGTAAATGCCACACAAAATCTCAAAGTTGCCTCCTTTTAAGTTTCAAAATAGATCTCATCAAGCTCTCAAATAATTCTCAGATTGTCTCAAGTTCGGTATGTCTTTTTTTTATCTCAGGCAGAGAAACCAGAGAGCTCTCTCTATGATCTCAATCTATTCTCATCCCAGTCTAATTCGTGCATCTCATGGTGAGCTCAGACAGCACAAATAAAGATCTCCAACACTTTCTCATCCATACTTAATGGTTTCTTTAAAAAAAAATCATAAAGAGACTCAGGGCTTAGTGGTTAACACGTTCGCCTCACACCTCCAGGGTCCGGGGTTCGATTTCCGCCATGTGTGTGCATGTTCTCCCCGTGCTGTGGGGGTTTACTCTGGGTACTCCGGTTTCCTCCCCCAGTCCAAAGAC